GTCGGCAAAAATAGGAGAAACTGGAGACCCCATAGCACACCCATGTTTCTGCCTATAATATTGCTCCCCATATGTGAAGTAGGTTGACTGCAGGCACAGTTTCAAGAGTTGACACAGTTGTTCTGTGGAAAGCGTGGTCCTGCTGCTCAGAGTGGTGTCTGCTTTTAATTTTAAACTGACCACCTCTACTGCATCATCAACAGGAATGCACGTAAAGAGTGATGTGACATCAAAAGAGACCATTGTTTCAACAGTCTCCATGATGACATCCCCCACCTTATCCACAAAGTCCATGGTGTTCTGTATGTGGTGTTCTGAGCTGCCACCTAAAGGGATGAGTACAGACGCCAGATATTTGGAAACATTGTAAGTGACAGAGTTAATCATGCTAACAATTGGTCTTAAAGGTACACCTTGTTTGTGAATTTTAGGTAAACCATACAGACTAGGTGTGGCCTCCCCTGGGTACAGTCTGTGGTACAGAAAACGGTCAACAGCCTTGTCCTGCTCCACAATTTTCAGGCAATCTATCAACTTCTTCTTGTAACCACTTCCTGGATCTCTTTTCAGAGGTTCTTAAGTGTTTTAAGTCACTAAGGAGTGTCATAACTTTCTCATGATAGTCTTTCTGGTTCAAAATCACTGTGCACCTTCCTTTGTCTGCTGGGAGAATGATGATGTTTTTGTCCTTGCTAAGAGTGGTGAGTGCGTCCCTCTCCTCTCTACTGATGTTGGAAGGTGGTGGTTTGGCATTGCTAAGGCAGGCTGAAACTTTCAGGAAGGCCTAACTGGGCCTTCCTGAAAGCAGAGAAGAAACCCAAACAGGACACCAGTCAGCCAACAGGTGAAAAGGAGGAACCCAGACCCAAACCAGTGGTCATTCCATATGTTGAGGGAGTATCAGAGAAACTGAGACATTTATTTTCTAAACATAACATCCCAGTGGCTTTTAAACTCCAAAATACTTTACGGCAAAGACTGGTTCATCCCAAAGATCCAGTCCCTCGGCACAAACAGAGTAATGTTGTGTATGATGTTCAGTGTCAGGAGGGCTGTGATCAGTCTTACATCGGGGAAACAAAACAGCCACTGGCCAAAAGGATGGCCCAGCACAGAAGATCAACATCATCAGGCCAGGACTCTGTGGTCTACACTCATCTCCAGGCCAGCGGTCACTTTTTCAGGGATGAAGATGTTCACATCCTGGATAGAGAGGAACGATGGTTTGAGAGAGGAGTAAAGGAGGCCATCTTTGTGAAAAGAAATCGTCCATCGTTAAACAGGGGTGGAGGCCTCCAGGTTCAATTGTCCCCCTCTTACAATGCTGTGATTGCTAGTATCACTCAGCCTACTGTGAATAGTAAACAGCCATCAGTGTGCTAATGATCCACTGTTAGGTTGATGGTCCTTCTTGAGCATGTGATCAGCTGGTTTTGGTTGTCAGCAGCAAAACTGGTTGATCCTCTCTGAGAAGGTGCTATTTAAGAGACTGTGCTGAATACAGCACCTCAGACTGAGGAAGTCTCTCGGATGAAAGACGAAACGTTTCTACATTTTTTTGTTGTTTTGCTTTGTTTTGTTTTTTTGAATGTCCAGAGGACCAGATTTAACTTTTTTAGATTTTTCTACCTGGATTATTGAGCATGCATCAGGATATCCTTAACATGTGTTTTTTTTTGTCTTTCAGATACACCTGGACCTACCATTCTGTGTTCGTCTGTCTCTCCTTCCTGCCCTCTCAACCAGCCGGTCAAAGCAGATGGCAGCTTGTCCTGAGCCTGGTTCTGCTGGACTTTTATTTTTATATTTGATTGTTTCTGTTCAGTGCCTTGAGACAACTTCTGTTGAGACTTGGCGCTGTACAGTATAAATAAACTGAACTGAATTTAACTGACAGGTATTGATGGGCAGATGAGGCCTCATGGGGTGTATGGCACATTTCCCAAAACTGTGTCGACACTGCGTTGAAACTGTTTTATTTAGAAACCTCAGCTGCTGTAACATCTTTGGGTCGAGGCGATTGCGTCGTTTACAAACCATTTCTCCTGCTTTTGAGAGCACCCTTTCACTGATGATGACGGCGTACATAGAAATTTCATTGCAAGTTTGTATAAGGTAGGGTAATTTAATATTTGCGTTTTCCTGTATTGTAGTAAATCCTGTGATCTTTGTGTGTCTGCCTCAGAGATATATCTTTGTACCTCGATAAGACAGCACCTGGGAGCAAATCCTACATTTCACCTGTAGTGAACTAGGCCTGAGACTTTATGGGACAGAAGCTGTCATTTCATTGATTTGAATCCAGAAATACAGGTTGACCCATCCTGAGACTTTCTTTCTTGAATCAAGTGAAAGAACACTCTCTTTTCTATTATCATTACTATTTTACAAATGTTTGATAATCAAAGTGTTTTTAGTTCAAACCATTTTAGATGCTGCAGTGAACTAATCATTTTTAATTAACTGTGAAACAGTAATAATGATTTTTAATCCTCATGCAAAGTTAGAATTCATGTTAAGGTCTGTTACAGAGTAATTATGCATTTTCTGATTTTCTGTCTTTGAATGAGCAGTGTAAGTTGGTCCAAGGTTGGAGTCAAACGCAAACAAGTTGTTGGAACGAGCTGTCATGTTTTTAAATCCTCTCAGACGTAAATAGAGAAGCTGGCACCTGTATTTTCCGCCAACTCGTCTAAATATTCCTCTCGTCTGTCTGAAAAACATTTTCAATCTGTTCCATAACATTCTTGCTGTTTTTCTAACTCCTAGTGACCTCTTACGTCACAAAAACACACCCCTGTCTGGTTGAAACGACCAATCAGGAAACTCCCAAGTGAACCGGAAATAGAGCTCTTTAAAGGTTGGTACTTCCTAGTTCAACCCGGTCGAGTTTGCAGTCGAGTTTGGAGAACAGAAGTCTAGCCATGATTCAAAGCTCTTCCGAGTATTGGGATTATGATATCTTCCACCTCTGAGTGGAACTCTGACGGACTCCACTCATGTGAAGTCCACTCGTGAGGTGAATTTGTGTCGAACAAGTACCGTCACTACTTCGGACGATTCACAGCTGTTCCTACGGAGACGCTGAAAGGGTGCGTTAAATGGAATTTCGTATCAGGGAGACATCTCCAGGTAAAAGAGATTTCTATCACCTAAGTGTACCGGGGAAGAAGCTGGGGAAAACCCGGAGAGTGCCGTTCTGATGCTGACACAAACATTCTCCCTCATCCATCTTTTTCTCCCTCTAAACTTCATCTTTCCATCTTTAAAACTCTTCTATCAAGTAGAAATTAATCCAGATATTTTTAGAAACGTCTGAAGCAAAGTTTTTCAACCACCGCCGTGTGGTTAATGTCTGTTGTACTGCTGCTAGCTAGAAAACAATCGCCGTATTGTTTACTCCGTGTAAAACTTGCTAAATTAGCCATGTTGTTATTTTCCATATTTTGCCAATTAATGTAAATGTGTGATGTGTTAAACTTTGATTCTGTTAATAAATGACCCACTGTCGTTGGTGAGTCAAAGATAATTAACGTCTCACGTTACATTTCTAAATTCAATGCACATTATATACAGTCCAGAAAAATTAAAGAATCTGTTTAATTTATGAATATATATCATGCATATGTTCATTCTACACCAGCAAAGTACTGAACATAATTTGTTTAAATATCCTTTTATTTAATTAGTTTGCCAACAGCAACTAGAAACTAACTTTATATTTTTATTTTTAACTGAAACAGTAGATAAAATAAAAAGAAATCTGTTAATACTGCTGTTTATCAGCTTAAACAACTGAAACTGGTCAATACTTTTCTACTCCCAGATGTAGTTTAGCTTTTCTTTTCTCTTAATTTATTAAATGTGTGTGCATTTTGTTCAAAGTCCAAATAAAAACTGAATTTGTAAATAAGCTTATGGCTAGAAGGCTTAAATATGGACGACAGTGACTGAAATGTGATGCTGCTTATGTTTCGTCACTGATTTGAATGGAATT